TACAGAAAGAGGAGGAGAGGGTCGTACATAGCGGAGAGGAAGAGGTCGCAGGAGTTTCTGTAGGCCTGCGATGCCGAGCAGAAGAAGCTGTCCGCGGACGACAACCTGATCACCATGACAGTGAGTCCCTCCCTTCCCTTCCCTCCCTTCCCTTCCCTCCCTTCCCTTCCCTTCTCCCTCTCCTCCCGTCCGCTTCCCTTTCACTACCCGAACTCCCTGGTCGACTTGTGCTGTCTCCTCTCACTTCTTCCTCCTCTCCTCTCCTCTTCTCTCCCTCTCTATCGTTCTTCTTTCACTTCTCCTTCCCTTTTCTTGGTTCTTGCTCCACCACCACCACCTTCACCTCCTCCTCCTCCTCCTCCTCCTCCTCCTCCTCCGCTACCTTCCGCTTCTCATCTTCACTCTTCCGATCGCATGCTGAACTCGGACGAGCTGCAACGTGTCTCTGCTCCTCTCCTCCACCTCCTTCAGAAGTTTTTCCGCCTCCTCTAGACGCCCGAGGAAGAGAAAATTTCTGTGTCGACGTGTGAAGAGAGAAGGAGAGAAGAGTGAGAAGCGGAGGAGGAGGAGGAGGAGGAGGAGGAGGAGGAGGAGGAGGAGGAGGAGGAGGAGGAGGAGGAGGAGGAGGAGGATATTGCCTTGCAAGGCCTTCGCGAGCGAGGAGTTCTCCAGCCACGTCTGATGAGGAAGGAGAGGAGGGAGAGGAGGGAGAGGAGGGAGAGGAGGGAGAGGAGGGAGAGGAAAAGGCCTCTTGGAAGCTTGCTGATGACTGCTTCATGTTTGCCTGGATCATCGTTGAGGAAATGTTGATGGAAGCGACGAGAGGAAGATGAACAGTATGAGGAGGAGGAAGAGCGGATCACGGAGGAGAAGGAGGAGGAGGAGCGGGAGCCGCGGTCTCGAGGGCTGGCGAAGAGGAGAAGGAGAAGGAGGAAGAGAGGAGGAAGAAGAGAGGAGAAAGAGAGAAGGGGGGAGAGAGAGGAGGAAGAGTGAAGAAAGAGAAGAAGAGCAGGGGAGAGAGGAGGAGGAAGAGAGGAGGAGGTAAGAGGAGGCAGCACGTTCACGAGTAGCTCTGCTCATGCTGATGTATCAACGTCACTCACCATGAGGAAATGAACTTCACCGAGCTCTCGTCTCGCTAGCGACGCCTGTAGAGGCTAGTGAGGAGAGGAAGAGGACAACGAAGGGAGGGGGGTTGAGAAGAAGAAAAGAAGCGGAGGAGGAGGCGCTGCTGCTGCGGAAGCGGCAGTGGCAGCGGCATCATCATCATCATCATCATCATCATCATCATCATCATCATCATCAGCAGCAGCAGCAGCAGCAGCAGCAGCAGCAGCAGCAGCAGCAGCAGCAGCAGCAGCAGCAGCAGCATGATCAGCGGCGGCAAAATCAATAAATTTTGGCTCACCCCTGCGGGGTCGTTGGCCTCTTGGTAGTGAAGCTGAGAGAGAAGGAGAAAGTCTCTCTGCGCGACTAGGTCGCCGTATCGATCTCTTTGCAGCTCAGCAAGTCGCTGCAGGATGTTCATCTTAGTCATCTCTTGCTCCTCCTGCTGCCCACAACCACTCCTTCTCTTTCATCTTCTCCCTCGTCCTTGTCCTGCTCCTTCTCCCTCCCACCTCCCCCTCTCCTCTCCTCTTCCTCTTCTCCCTCCTCCTCTGTCTCCTCCTCTCCCTCCCCTCCCTTCTCCTCTCCTTCTCCTCCCCCTCCTCTTCTCTCTCCTCTCCCTCCACTTCTCCCTTCTCCTCTCCCTCCTCCTCCTTCACCTGCATGGTCTTGGCAGCAGCAAGAGGATCTCCCATGTTCTTCTGCTGCTCGAAGATGCCGGACAGCGCGACGACCTTGGCTGACTTTTCAGCTGCAATCTGCCATGATGCGTCAGAGGAGAGCGGAAAGAAGGACCAGTGGGAGTGCAGGGAGAGGGAGGAGGATGAGAGAAAGTTAGAGGTCCAAAATGGTTGGGAGGAAGAGCAGCAGCAGCAGCAGCAGCGGCGGCGGCGGCGGCGGCGGCGGCGGCGGCAGCAGGAGCAGGAGCAGGAGCAGGAGCAGGAGCAGGAGCAGCAGCAGAAGCAGCAGAAGCAGGAGTGCATCAACCTCTGCCTGCAGGGAGGAGATCAAGCTTCGCTTGCTCTTCCTGTACTCCTCATCCGTTATCACTTCCCTTCTCAGCTGGCTGCGCAGCTGCTGCTTGCAGACGTCAGAGACGCGGCGGCTCCTCTCCTGGACTCACGCTGATCCTGTACCGCATCTTCTGCTTCTCCTGCCCCCGTCTCAGCTCATCGCAGACGCTCCTGCCGCTCACCTCATGCAGGTTGAGAGGAGGCTGGAGCTCGATGGCGACGAGTCTTGAGGCGATGTTGTTCCTCCTGCCCGCGGTCAGAGGAGGGAGATGGAAGAAATGCGGCGAAGAGGAGATGAGGAGAAGACGAATAGGAAGAGAAATGCAATGAGCACGACCATCCGATGTCTCCTCCTCCTCCAGCTACCTCTCCTCCCCTTTCCTCCTCTTTTTTCCTCCTCCCCTCTCCTCCTCCTCCTACCACCACCACCACCACTATTATTTTGTCCTCCTCCTCCTCCTACTCCCTCTTGTCCGTTTCCCCTGCTCCTCCTCCTACTCCTCAACCTCCCCTTCCCTTCTCCCCCGCATTTCTCCTCCTCCTCCTTCACCTGTTCACATTCTTTTCACTCGTCGCCTGCATCTCTAGATTCTTCGCACTCACGGAAGCGAAGATCTAACACTCGTCAGCTCGAACGCAGCTGGACAAGCTCCTACACCTGTTCGCTCAGCAGGAACGCTTGCTCCGCCTTGTCAAAATCCCCCTCGTAAACATTCTGAGGTGTCAAATGCGTCAGCCCCAGCTCAACCCCAGCTGTCAGATACCTTCTCGCGATTGAACCTGACGGCATGCGAGCGAGCCTGCCCCAGCCACCTGAAACATCGCGATGATCCTCCTCACAAAAACTCCTCTTCCTCCACAACCACCACCACCTCCTCCTCCTCCTCCTCCTCCCTCGTCCTCGTCCTCGTCCTCGCCCTCCTCGCTCGTTTCACCCTGCTCACCCTCACCCTCTTAGCCCTCTTCTCTCGCCTTGGTTTTCTCCTCCTCACCAGTTTCCATGGAACAAGACTGCCTGCACCAACTGTTCTTCCGCCTCCTGCGCCTTCTCCAGCGAAAGGATTTCATCCCATGTTGGCTCGTACTGATCAAGGCATCAATCGACTGACTGGTCCCTCCCTCCTTGCTCCCTCTCTCCTGCTCCCGCTCTACCATACCCTCCTCTTCCTCATCCGTTACCTGCAGCAGGCTCCTCGCGCTCTTGAACAATTCGATCGCTTCCTCGAACCTCTCCAACTTTAAGAGAGCATGCGCCTGAAGCGTTTACAATGAGTTTCTTCAAATGAGACAAGATGACGAAGAGGAGAGAAAGGTGAGCAGGGAAGGAGGGAAGGAGAGAGGAGGACAAGGGAGGAGGACATGGGCGGGGAAACGAAAGCGAGCAGGAGAGCAGGGGAGGAAACCTGCTGGGTGAGGGAGTAGCCGGAGGCAACCCGGGATCGTTTGAGGCAGGACGAGGACCGGTCTCTCCTCCCCGCGATCTCGAAACTGTCGGAGGCCTCGAGGAGGAGGGAGCTGGAGATCTCGAGCAGCTTTCCTGCTTCCGAATGGTCCTCCACCTTCCACCTTCCGCTTCATGTCAGTTTCCACCAACTCCCTCCTCCCCCACCTGCTCTCGAACATCAGGATCCCAGTCTCGCTTAGCCGCTCTGCTCGCTGCTCTGCGCGGAGGATCCGCCGGTTTCCGATCAACCCTGCGATTGGAGGAAATGACTTGTCCAGCGTCGGCGACCCGTCCAACGAGGCTTGACCGGCAAACTGAAGGATGCAGCTGATGTTCTGGTCGATGACAGTCCAGCTGAAGAAGCAGCAGAGTGAGGAACGAAGAGGAGGTGGTGACTTGCCGTGTTATCAGGTGCTTCACTCGCTTCAGCTCCTTGTCAACCTTCACTGTCGCCTCGCTCGCATCCTCGCTGCTCTCGATTCCCTCCAGGAAGTGCACTGGTCAAACATAAACCAACAGCCCTCCACCTCAACCCGCTCACCTGTCTGCCTTCCATACTCCGCGGCTTCTCCGTACCTGTTCGCTTGCTGCAAGACTCTTGCATTCCTCATACAGATCCTGGAGCAGCTCTGCCACCTCCCTCATCTTCCTCACCCCAGCTGCCGCAAGGTGCTCTACCTGGTTCTGTAGTACGAGCTGTTTACCGTGACAACCTATTGCTTCCATGGGCACAGCCCAGATGTCCACGTCTCCTCCCTCTCGGCTGTTCTCTCCTTCGGTCTTGCTCTCCTCCTTGGGCGGAGGTTGCTGCGGCTCCTCTTCTACCAGGAACACCTGCATCAACTTCGCCCGGATCTATGTGGGTTCGTGTCAGGGGAAGAGACTAGCAAGAGGACTGATACTCGCTCTACGATCTTGTCGCCATGGTCGCCTTTCAAGCCGTTGATGACACACTCCACTAGCTTGTCGAGTGATCGCACGCGCCTCACGGTTGCGATGAGAGACTTGCGAGGGATGCAGACTACCGAAGCTCCGCCCGGCATGGCAGCGATCGACATGCGGCAAGGGTCACCAGTGAGAGCAGGCCACAGGCAGAGGATCCTGGGAGGAGAGGATCCTTGAGCTGCTTGGATGGTCTTCATGAGCTCCGATGAGCCCCCGTGCTGCCTGCTCTTCAAGGCGACTTGCCCTCCAGTCAGAACGTACATGCCCAACACCTGCCTGCCTTCCTCCACGAGTTCCTTCCCTTCTTCGAGCTTCTCAGACACGCAGCAGCTCGCGAGCTCTCCGAGTGTCTGCATGTCCTGCAAGCAAGCTTCGGCTACCACCGGCACAGACGCCAGCAGCTCCGCCAACAAAGCCGTGGCGCCCGCCATGGGTTAGTTAGACTAGCGCATGTTTGACCAGCTTTCAAATGTGCCTCTGTCAAGACGGGTACTTTTCTCAGTACTTGACAAGTGGTGGGGTGGTAGTGTATGTGGATGTGAAAAACTCTCACGATTGAAAGTTTTGACAATGCCAAACAAACATCGTTAGATTCAGAGATAGAGTGAAAGTTGTCATTCACTACACTTGTTCTCTTCGTTCAGGATTTCACTCTTGTCATTTTGTCCTCTCAGCAAGGCAGGATGACAGTCCTGCCTCCAAACCAAGATGCCTCGCACTCCTCGCCCACAACGACGGTTGCCTGACAGGCCTCTTGCTGCCCATCTCCACGACAGGGCTGCTCAGCCTTGCTTTATTCCTAGTCCCTCAGACACTCCTCCCACTTGCCCTGACCCTCCCTCGACTGCCCGCCCTCCTCCTCCCATGCAAACCAAGGCTCGCCCTGCGCCGGCCTCTCCCAGGCCTCCTCCGCCGTGCTCGGGCCGTGGCCTAGGGGGACTGCGTCTTGCGCTTCTTCCTCGCCCCAGGCGCCCTCCGTCAGGTACATCTCCCACGTGCTGTCTGGGCTGACGAGCTCGTCGCCCGACCCCAGGAAGCCCTCCGAGCCCTCCTCCCACCAGGTGCAGCAGCTCTGAGCCTCTGCTGCCTCCTCCTCCGTCCTCGCCCCGCTCTGCCGCCTCCGCCTCCATCCGTCCAGGCACGCCTGGCCTGACCTGACGCATCGCCCGCAAGGCCTCTCGGGGTCGCACTTGAGCCGCGACCTCCTGCAGCGCTCGCACGCTTGGGTCACCTGCTCTCGCCTCCGCTGGTACCCCTGCAAGTCCACTCCCAGCGGAAGCCCCCCTTCCTCGTAGCACACGGACCCTGTCCGGAAGCAGCGCGCGCAGGGCCGCGCTTCCCCGCAGCGCACTTTCTTGAGCTGGCAGCCCAGGCAGGCCTTGCTCGACCTGCGGCGAAGTCCGCGCGTTGCCGTGGGGGTCCCGAGCGCGGCATCACCAGCCTCTGGTCGAGAGCAGTCGTCCCCGCGTCCGGCCCGGAGGCAGCGGGAGCAAGGGAACTGCTCGTCACAGCGAGTCTTGCGGCGACGGCACTGGGCGCAAGCAGCGAAGGGGCGAGGAGGAACAGCAAGCGGCATCATGGAGGGGCGAGGAGGAACAGCAAGCGGCATCATGTTGGCTGGAGGGGAAGGAGAGCCCCCAAGAGAGATGATTTCGCATCTCACGGAAACTGAAGATCTCCGTGTAGTAAAATACTTCTTTCTTTTTATGGCACGGTCCTCTCGTCTGCCTGTCAATTCGTCTTACGCTTTGAGAGGTGCTCTGCATGCTCCTTCGCCAGCGTATCGCTCTGTAGACGGTCTTCATACAAGGATAGTCTATCGGCCTAGCTGCTCTCCTATGATACATCTCTCTATGAAGATCAAGCCAAAGTCAGTGAGCTTTGGAGATCCTGATGGTAAGGAACCCACGGGAGTCTGCTTGTACTACAGTTACTACCCGGATGCGCCGCGGCTACTATCATTGACTTGAGCTGCAGTTTGCCTCCTTGGCCTTCTCTTGCTCGCTCTTCTTGCTCTTTATCTCTCTTGATGACGGCGATCAGGTTGCAATGTCCTTGTACAGGTTAGGGCCTTCGCGTGGAAGGACGAGGATGAGGACTTCGCCGTTTGCTTAGAAGCATGAGTGTAGGGAACGGACTCGCACACATACAGCTGTGTTTACCTGCAACGCTCTTCCTGCTCCCTGTGCATCATACAGCAGGGATCTGTTGCACGAGTACGCTGCTTCGCTATGCTATGTCAGGCTGCTCGCAAGTCGCTGTGGAGTGACCTGCAATCACAATCTGTATAGTGCTAGGAACAACTGCTCAGGTGGTCTGTCCTTTCCCTTGCTGTATGTGCCACGAACCGATAGTGCGTTTATGTTATCTAATAAACTTCATGTCTCTACTCATCAGCTTTTTGTGATCTAGCGGAGGTGCTTTGAGAATTCGCTGTAGACGTCTGCAACCCATAAAGCTTCACAGGGGTGTGACACGATTTGGTAGCTTTAAGTGTTGGTGTCGTGAGTTGTAAAGCCTTTTGTTTCCCTCTCCTATCTTTTTGCTTTTTGCGTCTGGATTACTGTATGTCGTACAATACTCGACTGGCTTCTTGCTTCCAAGCAGATCTCTGAGCATCACCTTTCAGATAATGATTGGCAATCTGTGGGGGACGCTGATGATTTGGGACAAGACCGCGTCGTCACGAAGACGGTGGGGGTGCAATCAACAAGACCGCGTCGTCACAATCATTGGAAGACCTGGCTGAGCAGGTTGCGTCGCTCCAGGCGCAACTGCATGCAGCTCTACATATGAGCCAGACCGTGGAGTCCAGACCGCCGACCGGGATGATGGCATGTCACATTCTCCAGGTACCGCGGTCACCATGGAAGGGGATGCGAGGAACCTCTTCACACGCTTACCGCTGATCGACGGCACGGCCGTCGGCATCGACGCCTCTCGCCGTCGATACTCGTGCCCAACACTCGGCAAAAATCAAGAGCTTGCCTAAGTTGGATACCGCTGGGCAGACCCTGAAGACGAATGTGTTGACGTAGGTCAGAGCAGAACGGTATGCTCTCAAATAAACTACATGTCTCTACACTGCACCTTCTTGTGATCTAGCGCACTCCTCGCCCACAACGACGGTTGCCTGACAGGCCTCTTGCTGCCCATCTCCACGACAGGGCTGCTCAGCCTTGCTTTATTCCTAGTCCCTCAGACACTCCTCCCACTTGCCCTGACCCTCCCTCGACTGCCCGCCCTCCTCCTCCCATGCAAACCAAGGCTCGCCCTGCGCCGGCCTCTCCCAGGCCTCCTCCGCCGTGCTCGGGCCGTGGCCTAGGGGGACTGCGGCTTGCGCTTCTTCCTCGCCCCAGGCGCCCTCCGTCAGGTACATCTCCCACGTGCTGTCTGGGCTGACGAGCTCGTCGCCCGACCCCAGGAAGCCCTCCGAGCCCTCCTCCCACCAGGTGCAGCAGCTCTGAGCCTCTGCTGCCTCCTCCTCCGTCCTCGCCCCGCTCTGCCGCCTCCGCCTCCATCCGTCCAGGCACGCCTGGCCTGACCTGACGCATCGCCCGCAAGGCCTCTCGGGGTCGCACTTGAGCCGCGACCTCCTGCAGCGCTCGCACGCTTGGGTCACCTGCTCTCGCCTCCGCTGGTACCCCTGCAAGTCCACTCCCAGCGGAAGCCCCCCTTCCTCGTAGCACACGGACCCTGTCCGGAAGCAGCGCGCGCAGGGCCGCGCTTCCCCGCAGCGCACTTTCTTGAGCTGGCAGCCCAGGCAGGCCTTGCTCGACCTGCGGCGAAGTCCGCGCGTTGCCGTGGGGGTCCCGAGCGCGGCATCACCAGCCTCTGGTCGAGAGCAGTCGTCCCCGCGTCCGGCCCGGAGGCAGCGGGAGCAAGGGAACTGCTCGTCACAGCGAGTCTTGCGGCGACGGCACTGGGCGCAAGCAGCGAAGGGGCGAGGAGGAACAGCAAGCGGCATCATGGAGGGGCGAGGAGGAACAGCAAGCGGCATCATGGAGGGGCGAGGAGGAACAGCAAGCGGCATCATGTTGGCTGGAGGGGAAGGAGAGCCCCCAAGAGAGATGATTTCGCATCTCACGGAAACTGAAGATCTCCGTGTAGTAAAATACTTCTTTCTTTTTATGGCACGGTCCTCTCGTCTGCCTGTCAATTCGTCTTACGCTTTGAGAGGTGCTCTGCATGCTCCTTCGCCAGCGTATCGCTCTGTAGACGGTCTTCATACAAGGATAGTCTATCGGCCTAGCTGCTCTCCTATGATACATCTCTCTATGAAGATCAAGCCAAAGTCAGTGAGCTTTGGAGATCCTGATGGTAAGGAACCCACGGGAGTCTGCTTGTACTACAGTTACTACCCGGATGCGCCGCGGCTACTATCATTGACTTGAGCTGCAGTTTGCCTCCTTGGCCTTCTCTTGCTCGCTCTTCTTGCTCTTTATCTCTCTTGATGACGGCGATCAGGTTGCAATGTCCTTGTACAGGTTAGGGCCTTCGCGTGGAAGGACGAGGATGAGGACTTCGCCGTTTGCTTAGAAGCATGAGTGTAGGGATCGGACTCGCACACATACAGCTGTGTTTACCTGCAACGCTCTTCCTGCTCCCTGTGCATCATACAGCAGGGATCTGTTGCACGAGTACGCTGCTTCGCTATGCTATGTCAGGCTGCTCGCAAGTCGCTGTGGAGTGACCTGCAATCACAATCTGTATAGTGCTTGGAACAACTGCTCAGGTGGTCTGTCCTTTCCCTTGCTGTATGTGCCACGAACCGATAGTGCGTTTATGTTATCTAATAAACTTCATGTCTCTACTCATCAGCTTTTTGTGATCCAGCGGAGGTGCTTTGAGAATTCGCTGTAGACGTCTGCAACCCATAAAGCTTCACAGGGGTGTGACACGATTTGGTAGCTTTAAGTGTTGGTGTCGTGAGTTGTAAAGTCTTTTGTTTCCCTCTCCTATCTTTTTGCTTTTTGCGTCTGGATTACTGTATGTCGTACAATACTCGACTGGCTTCTTGCTTCCAAGCAGATCTCTGAACATCACCTTTCTGATAATGATTGGCAATCTGTGGGGGACGCTGATGATTTGGGACAAGACCGTGTCTTCACGAAGACGGTGGGGGTGCAATCAACAAGACCACGTCGTCACAATCATTGGAAGACCTGGCTGAGCAGGTTGCGTCGCTCCAGGCGCAACTGCATGCAGCTCTACATATGAGCCAGACCGTGGAGTCCAGACCGCCGACCGGGATGATGGCATGTCACATTCTCCAGGTACCGCGGTCACCATGGAAGGGGATGCGAGGAACCTCTTCACACGCTTACCGCTGATCGACGGCTCGGCCGTCGGCATCGACGCCTCTCGCTGTCGATACTCGTGCCCAACACTCGGCAAAAATCAAGAGCTTGCCTAAGTTGGATACCGCTGGGCAGACCCTGAAGACGAATGTGTTGACGTAGGTCAGAGCAGAACGGTATGCTCTCAAATAAACTACATGTCTCTACACTGCACCTTCTTGTGATCTAGCGCACTCCTCGCCCACAACGACGGTTGCCTGACAGGCCTCTTGCTGCCCATCTCCACGACAGGGCTGCTCAGCCTTGCTTTATTCCTAGTCCCTCAGACACTCCTCCCACTTGCCCTGACCCTCCCTCGACTGCCCGCCCTCCTCCTCCCATGCAAACCAAGGCTCGCCCTGCGCCGGCCTCTCCCAGGCCTCCTCCGCCGTGCTCGGGCCGTGGCCTAGGGGGACTACGGCTTGCGCTTCTTCCTCGCCCCAGGCGCCCTCCGTCAGGTACATCTCCCACGTGCTGTCTGGGCTGACGAGCTCGTCGCCCGACCCCAGGAAGCCCTCCGAGCCCTCCTCCCACCAGGTGCAGCAGCTCTGAGCCTCTGCTGCCTCCTCCTCCGTCCTCGCCCCGCTCTGCCGCCTCCGCCTCCATCCGTCCAGGCACGCCTGGCCTGACCTGACGCATCGCCCGCAAGGCCTCTCGGGGTCGCACTTGAGCCGCGACCTCCTGCAGCGCTCGCACGCTTGGGTCACCTGCTCTCGCCTCCGCTGGTACCCCTGCAAGTCCACTCCCAGCGGAAGCCCCCCTTCCTCGTAGCACACGGACCCTGTCCGGAAGCAGCGCGCGCAGGGCCGCGCTTCCCCGCAGCGCACTTTCTTGAGCTGGCAGCTCAGGCAGGCCTTGCTCGACCTGCGGCGAAGTCCGCGCGTTACCGTGGGGGTCCCGAGCGCGGCATCACCAGCCTCTGGTCGAGAGCAGTCGTCCCCGCGTCCGGCCCGGAGGCAGCGGGAGCAAGGGAACTGCTCGTCACAGCGAGTCTTGCGGCGACGGCACTGGGCGCAAGCAGCGAAGGGGCGAGGAGGAACAGCAAGCGGCATCATGGAGGGGCGAGGAGGAACAGCAAGCGGCATCATGGAGGGGCGAGGAGGAACAGCAAGCGGCATCATGGAGGGGCGAGGAGGAACAGCAAGCGGCATCATGTTGGCTGGAGGGGAAGGAGAGCCCCCAAGAGAGATGATTTCGCATCTCACGGAAACTGAAGATCTCCGTGTAGTAAAATACTTCTTTCTTTTTATGGCACGGTCCTCTCGTCTGCCTGTCAATTCGTCTTACGCTTTGAGAGGTGCTCTGCATGCTCCTTCGCCAGCGTATCGCTCTGTAGACGGTCTTCATACAAGGATAGTCTATCGGCCTAGCTGCTCTCCTATGATACATCTCTCTATGAAGATCAAGCCAAAGTCAGTGAGCTTTGGAGATCCTGATGGTAAGGAACCCACGGGAGTCTGCTTGTACTACAGTTACTACCCGGATGCGCCGCGGCTACTATCATTGACTTGAGCTGCAGTTTGCCTCCTTGGCCTTCTCTTGCTCGCTCTTCTTGCTCTTTATCTCTCTTGATGACGGCGATCAGGTTGCAATGTCCTTGTACAGGTTAGGGCCTTCGCGTGGAAGGACGAGGATGAGGACTTCGCCGTTTGCTTAGAAGCATGAGTGTAGGGAACGGACTCGCACACATACAGCTGTGTTTACCTGCAACGCTCTTCCTGCTCCCTGTGCATCATACAGCAGGGATCTGTTGCACGAGTACGCTGCTTCGCTATGCTATGTCAGGCTGCTCGCAAGTCGCTGTGGAGTGACCTGCAATCACAATCTGTATAGTGCTTGGAACAACTGCTCAGGTGGTCTGTCCTTTCCCTTGCTGTATGTGCCACGAACCGATAGTGCGTTTATGTTATCTAATAAACTTCATGTCTCTACTCATCAGCTTTTTGTGATCCAGCGGAGGTGCTTTGAGAATTCGCTGTAGACGTCTGCAACCCATAAAGCTTCACAGGGGTGTGACACGATTTGGTAGCTTTAAGTGTTGGTGTCGTGAGTTGTAAAGTCTTTTGTTTCCCTCTCCTATCTTTTTGCTTTTTGCGTCTGGATTACTGTATGTCGTACAATACTCGACTGGCTTCTTGCTTCCAAGCAGATCTCTGAACATCACCTTTCTGATAATGATTGGCAATCTGTGGGGGACGCTGATGATTTGGGACAAGACCGTGTCTTCACGAAGACGGTGGGGGTGCAATCAACAAGACCACGTCGTCACAATCATTGGAAGACCTGGCTGAGCAGGTTGCGTCGCTCCAGGCGCAACTGCATGCAGCTCTACATATGAGCCAGACCGTGGAGTCCAGACCGCCGACCGGGATGATGGCATGTCACATTCTCCAGGTACCGCGGTCACCATGGAAGGGGATGCGAGGAACCTCTTCACACGCTTACCGCTGATCGACGGCTCGGCCGTCGGCATCGACGCCTCTCGCTGTCGATACTCGTGCCCAACACTCGGCAAAAATCAAGAGCTTGCCTAAGTTGGATACCGCTGGGCAGACCCTGAAGACGAATGTGTTGACGTAGGTCAGAGCAGAACGGTATGCTCTCAAATAAACTACATGTCTCTACACTGCACCTTCTTGTGATCTAGCGCACTCCTCGCCCACAACGACGGTTGCCTGACAGGCCTCTTGCTGCCCATCTCCACGACAGGGCTGCTCAGCCTTGCTTTATTCCTAGTCCCTCAGACACTCCTCCCACTTGCCCTGACCCTCCCTCGACTGCCCGCCCTCCTCCTCCCATGCAAACCAAGGCTCGCCCTGCGCCGGCCTCTCCCAGGCCTCCTCCGCCGTGCTCGGGCCGTGGCCTAGGGGGACTACGGCTTGCGCTTCTTCCTCGCCCCAGGCGCCCTCCGTCAGGTACATCTCCCACGTGCTGTCTGGGCTGACGAGCTCGTCGCCCGACCCCAGGAAGCCCTCCGAGCCCTCCTCCCACCAGGTGCAGCAGCTCTGAGCCTCTGCTGCCTCCTCCTCCGTCCTCGCCCCGCTCTGCCGCCTCCGCCTCCATCCGTCCAGGCACGCCTGGCCTGACCTGACGCATCGCCCGCAAGGCCTCTCGGGGTCGCACTTGAGCCGCGACCTCCTGCAGCGCTCGCACGCTTGGGTCACCTGCTCTCGCCTCCGCTGGTACCCCTGCAAGTCCACTCCCAGCGGAAGCCCCCCTTCCTCGTAGCACACGGACCCTGTCCGGAAGCAGCGCGCGCAGGGCCGCGCTTCCCCGCAGCGCACTTTCTTGAGCTGGCAGCTCAGGCAGGCCTTGCTCGACCTGCGGCGAAGCCCGCGCGTTACCGTGGGGGTCCCGAGCGCGGCATCACCAGCCTCTGGTCGAGAGCAGTCGTCCCCGCGTCCGGCCCGGAGGCAGCGGGAGCAAGGGAACTGCTCGTCACAGCGAGTCTTGCGGCGACGGCACTGGGCGCAAGCAGCGAAGGGGCGAGGAGGAACAGCAAGCGGCATCATGGAGGGGCGAGGAGGAACAGCAAGCGGCATCATGTTGGCTGGAGGGGAAGGAGAGCCCCCAAGAGAGATGATTTCGCATCTCACGGAAACTGAAGATCTCCGTGTAGTAAAATACTTCTTTCTTTTTATGGCACGGTCCTCTCGTCTGCCTGTCAATTCGTCTTACGCTTTGAGAGGTGCTCTGCATGCTCCTTCGCCAGCGTATCGCTCTGTAGACGGTCTTCATACAAGGATAGTCTATCGGCCTAGCTGCTCTCCTATGATACATCTCTCTATGAAGATCAAGCCAAAGTCAGTGAGCTTTGGAGATCCTGATGGTAAGGAACCCACGGGAGTCTGCTTGTACTACAGTTACTACCCGGATGCGCCGCGGCTACTATCATTGACTTGAGCTGCAGTTTGCCTCCTTGGCCTTCTCTTGCTCGCTCTTCTTGCTCTTTATCTCTCTTGATGACGGCGATCAGGTTGCAATGTCCTTGTACAGGTTAGGGCCTTCGCGTGGAAGGACGAGGATGAGGACTTCGCCGTTTGCTTAGAAGCATGAGTGTAGGGAACGGACTCGCACACATACAGCTGTGTTTACCTGCAACGCTCTTCCTGCTCCCTGTGCATCATACAGCAGGGATCTGTTGCACGAGTACGCTGCTTCGCTATGCTATGTCAGGCTGCTCGCAAGTCGCTGTGGAGTGACATGCAATCACAATCTGTATAGTGCTAGGAACAACTGCTCAGGTGGTCTGTCCTTTCCCTTGCTGTATGTGCCACGAACCGATAGTGCGTTTATGTTATCTAATAAACTTCATGTCTCTACTCATCAGCTTTTTGTGATCCAGCGGAGGTGCTTTGAGAATTCGCTGTAGACGTCTGCAACCCATAAAGCTTCACAGGGGTGTGACACGATTTGGTAGCTTTAAGTGTTGGTGTCGTGAGTTGTAAAGCCTTTTGTTTCCCTCTCCTATCTTTTTGCTTTTTGCGTCTGGATTACTGTATGTCGTACAATACTCGACTGGCTTCTTGCTTCCAAGCAGATCTCTGAGCATCACCTTTCAGATAATGATTGGCAATCTGTGGGGGACGCTGATGATTTGGGACAAGACCGCGTCGTCACGAAGACGGTGGGGGTGCAATCAACAAGACCGCGTCGTCACAATCATTGGAAGACCTGGCTGAGCAGGTTGCGTCGCTCCAGGCGCAACTGCATGCAGCTCTACATATGAGCCAGACCGTGGAGTCCAGACCGCCGACCGGGATGATGGCATGTCACATTCTCCAGGTACCGCGGTCACCATGGAAGGGGATGCGAGGAACCTCTTCACACGCTTACCGCTGATCGACGGCTCGGCCGTCGGCATCGACGCCTCTCGCTGTCGATACTCGTGCCCAACACTCGGCAAAAATCAAGAGCTTGCCTAAGTTGGATACCGCTGGGCAGACCCTGAAGACGAATGTGTTGACGTAGGTCAGAGCAGAACGGTATGCTCTCAAATAAACTACATGTCTCTACACTGCACCTTCTTGTGATCTAGCGCACTCCTCGCCCACAACGACGGTTGCCTGACAGGCCTCTTGCTGCCCATCTCCACGACAGGGCTGCTCAGCCTTGCTTTATTCCTAGTCCCTCAGACACTCCTCCCACTTGCCCTGACCCTCCCTCGACTGCCCGCCCTCCTCCTCCCATGCAAACCAAGGCTCGCCCTGCGCCGGCCTCTCCCAGGCCTCCTCCGCTGTGCTCGGGCCGTGGCCTAGGGGGACTACGGCTTGCGCTTCTTCCTCGCCCCAGGCGCCCTCCGTCAGGTACATCTCCCACGTGCTGTCTGGGCTGACGAGCTCGTCGCCCGACCCCAGGAAGCCCTCCGAGCCCTCCTCCCACCAGGTGCAGCAGCTCTGAGCCTCTGCTGCCTCCTCCTCCGTCCTCGCCCCGCTCTGCCGCCTCCGCCTCCATCCGTCCAGGCACGCCTGGCCTGACCTGACGCATCGCCCGCAAGGCCTCTCGGGGTCGCACTTGAGCCGCGACCTCCTGCAGCGCTCGCACGCTTGGGTCACCTGCTCTCGCCTCCGCTGGTACCCCTGCAAGTCCACTCCCAGCGGAAGCCCCCCTTCCTCGTAGCACACGGACCCTGTCCGGAAGCAGCGCGCGCAGGGCCGCGCTTCCCCGCAGCGCACTTTCTTGAGCTGGCAGCCCAGGCAGGCCTTGCTCGACCTGCGGCGAAGTCCGCGCGTTGCCGTGGGGGTCCCGAGCGCGGCATCACCAGCCTCTGGTCGAGAGCAGTCGTCCCCGCGTCCGGCCCGGAGGCAGCGGGAGCAAGGGAACTGCTCGTCACAGCGAGTCTTGCGGCGACGGCACTGGGCGCAAGCAGCGAAGGGGCGAGGAGGAACAGCAAGCGGCATCATGGAGGGGCGAGGAGGAACAGCAAGCGGCATCATGTTGGCTGGAGGGGAAGGAGAGCCCCCAAGAGAGATGATTTCGCATCTCACGGAAACTGAAGATCTCCGTGTAGTAAAATACTTCTTTCTTTTTATGGCACGGTCCTCTCGTCTGCCTGTCAATTCGTCTTACGCTTTGAGAGGTGCTCTGCATGCTCCTTCGCCAGCGTATCGCTCTGTAGACGGTCTTCATACAAGGATAGTCTATCGGCCTAGCTGCTCTCCTATGATACATCTCTCTATGAAGATCAAGCCAAAGTCAGTGAGCTTTGGAGATCCTGATGGTAAGGAACCCACGGGAGTCTGCTTGTACTACAGTTACTACCCGGATGCGCCGCGGCTACTATCATTGACTTGAGCTGCAGTTTGCCTCCTTGGCCTTCTCTTGCTCGCTCTTCTTGCTCTTTATCTCTCTTGATGACGGCGATCAGGTTGCAATGTCCTTGTACAGGTTAGGGCCTTCGCGTGGAAGGACGAGGATGAGGACTTCGCCGTTTGCTTAGAAGCATGAGTGTAGGGATCGGACTCGCACACATACAGCTGTGTTTACCTGCAACGCTCTTCCTGCTCCCTGTGCATCATACAGCAGGGATCTGTTGCACGAGTACGCTGCTTCGCTATGCTATGTCAGGCTGCTCGCAAGTCGCTGTGGAGTGACATGCAATCACAATCTGTATAGTGCTAGGAACAACTGCTCAGGTGGTCTGTCCTTTCCCTTGCTGTATGTGCCACGAACCGATAGTGCGTTTATGTTATCTAATAAACTTCATGTCTCTACTCATCAGCTTTTTGTGATCCAGCGGAGGTGCTTTGAGAATTCGCTGTAGACGTCTGCAACCCATAAAGCTTCACAGGGGTGTGACACGATTTGGTAGCTTTAAGTGTTGGTGTCGTGAGTTGTAAAGCCTTTTGTTTCCCTCTCCTATCTTTTTGCTTTTTGCGTCTGGATTACTGTATGTCGTACAATACTCGACTGGCTTCTTGCTTCCAAGCAGATCTCTGAACATCACCTTTCTGATAATGATTGGCAATCTGTGGGGGACGCTGATGATTTGGGACAAGACCGTGTCTTCACGAAGACGGTGGGGGTGCAATCAACAAGACCACGTCGTCACAATCATTGGAAGACCTGGCTGAGCAGGTTGCGTCGCTCCAGGCGCAACTGCATGCAGCTCTACATATGAGCCAGACCGTGGAGTCCAGACCGCCGACCGGGATGATGGCATGTCACATTCTCCAGGTACCGCGGTCACCATGGAAGGGGATGCGAGGAACCTCTTCACACGCTTACCGCTGATCGACGGCTCGGCCGTCGGCATCGACGCCTCTCGCTGTCGATACTCGTGCCCAACACTCGGCAAAAATCAAGAGCTTGCCTAAGTTGGATACCGCTGGGCAGACCCTGAAGACGAATGTGTTGACGTAGGTCAGAGCAGAACGGTATGCTCTCAAATAAACTACATGTCTCTACACTGCACCTTCTTGTGATCTAGCGCACTCCTCGCCCACAACGACGGTTGCCTGACAGGCCTCTTGCTGCCCATCTCCACGACAGGGCTGCTCAGCCTTGCTTTATTCCTAGTCCCTCAGACACTCCTCCCACTTGCCCTGACCCTCCCTCGACTGCCCGCCCTCCTCCTCCCATGCAAACCAAGGCTCGCCCTGCGCCGGCCTCTCCCAGGCCTCCTCCGCCGTGCTCGGGCCGTGGCCTAGGGGGACTACGGCTTGCGCTTCTTCCTCGCCCCAGGCGCCCTCCGTCAGGTACATCTCCCACGTGCTGTCTGGGCTGACGAGCTCGTCGCCCGACCCCAGGAAGCCCTCCGAGCCCTCCTCCCACCAGGTGCAGCAGCTCTGAGCCTCTGCTGCCTCCTCCTCCGTCCTCGCCCCGCTCTGCCGCCTCCGCCTCCATCCGTCCAGGCACGCCTGGCCTGACCTGACGCATCGCCCGCAAGGCCTCTCGGGGTCGCACTTGAGCCGCGACCTCCTGCAGCGCTCGCACGCTTGGGTCACCTGCTCTCGCCTCCGCTGGTACCCCTGCAAGTCCACTCCCAGCGGAAGCCCCCCTTCCTCGTAGCACACGGACCCTGTCCGGAAGCAGCGCGCGCAGGGCCGCGCTTCCCCGCAGCGCACTTTCTTGAGCTGGCAGCTCAGGCAGGCCTTGCTCGACCTGCGGCGAAGCCCGCGCGTTACCGTGGGGGTCCCGAGCGCGGCATCACCAGCCTCTGGTCGAGAGCAGTCGTCCCCGCGTCCGGCCCGGAGGCAGCGGGAGCAAGGGAACTGCTCGTCACAGCGAGTCTTGCGGCGACGGCACTGGGCGCAAGCAGCGAAGGGGCGAGGAGGAACAGCAAGCGGCATCATGGAGGGGCGAGGAGGAACAGCAAGCGGCATCATGGAGGGGCGAGGAGGAACAGCAAGCGGCATCATGTTGGCTGGAGGGGAAGGAGAGCCCCCAAGAGAGATGATTTCGCATCTCACGGAAACTGAAGATCTCCGTGTAGTAAAATACTTCTTTCTTTTTATGGCACGGTCCTCTCGTCTGCCTGTCAATTCGTCTTACGCTTTGAGAGGTGCTCTGCATGCTCCTTCGCCAGCGTATCGCTCTGTAGACGGTCTTCATACAAGGATAGTCTATCGGCCTAGCTGCTCTCCTATGATACATCTCTCTATGAAGATCAAGCCAAAGTCAGTGAGCTTTGGAGATCCTGATGGTAAGGAACCCACGGGAGTCTGCTTGTACTACAGTTACTACCCGGATGCGCCGCGGCTACTATCATTGACTTGAGCTGCAGTTTGCCTCCTTGGGCCTTCTCTTGCTCGCTCTTCTTGCTCTTTATCTCTCTTGATGACGGCGATCAGGTTGCAATGTCCTTGTACAGGTTAGGGCCTTCGCGTGGAAGGACGAGGATGAGGACTTCGCCGTTTGCTTAGAAGCATGAGTGTAGGTATCGGACTCGCACACATACAGCTGTCTTTACCTGCAACGCTCTTCCTGCTCCCTGTGCATCATACAGCAGGGATCTGTTGCACGAGTACGCTGCTTCGCTATGCTATGTCAGGCTGCTCGCAAGTCGCTGTGGAGTGACCTGCAATCACAATCTGTATAGTGCTAGGAACAACTGCTCAGGTGGTCTGTCCTTTCCCTTGCTGTATGTGCCACGAACCGATAGTGCGTTTATGTTATCTAATAAACTTCATGTCTCTACTCATCAGCTTTTTGTGATCCAGCGGAGGTGCTTTGAGAATTCGCTGTAGACGTCTGCAACCCATAAAGCTTCACAGGGGTGTGACACGATTTGGTAGCTTTAAGTGTTGGTGTCGTGAGTTGTAAAGTCTTTTGTTTCCCTCTCCTATCTTTTTGCTTTTTGCGTCTGGATTACTGTATGTCGTACAATACTCGACTGGCTTCTTGCTTCCAAGCAGATCTCTGAGCATCACCTTTCTGATAATGATTGGCAATCTGTGGGGGACGCTGATGATTTGGGACAAGACCGTGTCTTCACGAAGACGGTGGGGGTGCAATCAACAAGACCACGTCGTCACAATCATTGGAAGACCTGGCTGAGCAGGTTGCGTCGCTCCAGGCGCAACTGCATGCAGCTCTACATATGCACCAGACCGTGGAGTCCAGACCGCCGACCGGGATGATGGCATGTCACATTCTCCAGGTACCGCGGTCACCATGGAAGGGGATGCGAGGAACCTCTTCACACGCTTACCGCTGATCGACGGCACGGCCGTCGGCATCGACGCCTCTCGCTGTCGATACTCGTGCCCAACACTCGGCAAAAATCAAGAGCTTGCCTAAGTTGGATACCGCTGGGCAGACCCTGAAGACGAATGTGTTGACGTAGGTCAGAGCAGAACGGTATGCTCTCAAATAAACTACATGTCTCTACACTGCACCTTCTTGTGATCTAGCGCACTCCTCGCCCACAACGACGGTTGCCTGACAGGCCTCTTGCTGCCCATCTCCACGACAGGGCTGCTCAGCCTTGCTTTATTCCTAGTCCCTCAGACACTCCTCCCACTTGCCCTGACCCTCCCTCGACTGCCCGCCCTCCTCCTCCCATGCAAACCAAGGCTCGCCCTGCGCCGGCCTCTCCCAGGCCTCCTCCGCTGTGCTCGGGCCGTGGCCTAGGGGGACTGCGGCTTGCGCTTCTTCCTCGCCCCAGGCGCCCTCCGTCAGGTACATCTCCCACGTGCTGTCTGGGCTGACGAGCTCGTCGCCCGACCCCAGGAAGCCCTCCGAGCCCTCCTCCCACCAGGTGCAGCAGCTCTGAGCCTCTGCTGCCTCCTCCTCCGTCCTCGCCCCGCTCTGCCGCCTCCGCCTCCATCCGTCCAGGCACGCCTGGCCTGACCTGACGCATCGCCCGCAAGGCCTCTCGGGGTCGCACTTGAGCCGCGACCTCCTGCAGCGCTCGCACGCTTGGGTCACCTGCTCTCGCCTCCGCTGGTACCCCTGCAAGTCCACTCCCAGCGGAAGCCCCCCTTCCTCGTAGCACACGGACCCTGTCCGGAAGCAGCGCGCGCAGGGCCGCGCTTCCCCGCAGCGCGCTGGTACCCCTGCAAGTCCACTCCCAGCGGAAGCCCCCCTTCCTCGTAGCACACGGACCCTGTCCGGAAGCAGCGCGCGCAGGGCCGCGCTTCCCCGCAGCGCACTTTCTTGAGCTGGCAGCTCAGGCAGGCCTTGCTCGACCTGCGGCGAAGTCCGCGCGTTACCGTGGGGGTCCCGAGCGCGGCATCACCAGCCTCTGGTCGAGAGCAGTCGTCCCCGCGTCCGGCCCGGAGGCAGCGGGAGCAAGGGAACTGCTCGTCACAGCGAGTCTTGCGGCGACGGCACTGGGCGCAAGCAGCGAAGGGGCGAGGAGGAACAGCAAGCGGCATCATGGAGGGGCGAGGAGGAACAGCAAGCGGCATCATGTTGGCTGGAGGGGAAGGAGAGCCCCCAAGAGAGATGATTTCGCATCTCACGGAAACTGAAGATCTCCGTGTAGTAAAATACTTCTTTCTTTTTATGGCACGGTCCTCTCGTCTGCCTGTCAATTCGTCTTACGCTTTGAGAGGTGCTCTGCATGCTCCTTCGCCAGCGTATCGCTCTGTAGACGGTCTTCATACAAGGATAGTCTATCGGCCTAGCTGCTCTCCTATGATACATCTCTCTATGAAGATCAAGCCAAAGTCAGTGAGCTTTGGAGATCCTGATGGTAAGGAACCCACGGGAGTCTGCTTGTACTACAGTTACTACCCGGATGCGCCGCGGCTACTATCATTGACTTGAGCTGCAGTTTGCCTCCTTGGCCTTCTCTTGCTCGCTCTTCTTGCTCTTTATCTCTCTTGATGACGGCGATCAGGTTGCAATGTCCTTGTACAGGTTAGGGCCTTCGCGTGGAAGGACGAGGATGAGGACTTCGCCGTTTGCTTAGAAGCATGAGTGTAGGTATCGGACTCGCACACATACAGCTGTGTTTACCTGCAACGCTCTTCCTGCTCCCTGTGCATCATACAGCAGGGATCTGTTGCACGAGTACGCTGCTTCGCTATGCTATGTCAGGCTGCTCGCAAGTCGCTGTGGAGTGACATGCAATCACAATCTGTATAGTGCTAGGAACAACTGCTCAGGTGGTCTGTCCTTTCCCTTGCTGTATGTGCCACGAACCGATAGTGCGTTTATGTTATCTAATAAACTTCATGTCTCTACTCATCAGCTTTTTGTGATCTAGCGGAGGTGCTTCGAGAGTTCGCTGTAGACGTCTGCAACCCATAAAGCTTCACAGGGGTGTGACACGATTTGGTAGCTTTAAGTGTTGGTGTCGTGAGTTGTAAAGTCTTTTGTTTCCCTCTCCTATCTTTTTGCTTTTTGCGTCTGGATTACTGTATGTCGTACAATACTCGACTGGCTTCTTGCTTCCAAGCAGATCTCTGAACATCACCTTTCTGATAATGATTGGCAATCTGTGGGGGACGCTGATGATTTGGGACAAGACCGTGTCTTCACGAAGACGGTGGGGGTGCAATCAACAAGACCACGTCGTCACAATCATTGGAAGACCTGGCTGAGCAGGTTGCGTCGCTCCAGGCGCAACTGCATGCAGCTCTACATATGAGCCAGACCGTGGAGTCCAGACCGCCGACCGGGATGATGGCATGTCACATTCTCCAGGTACCGCGGTCACCATGGAAGGGGATGCGAGGAACCTCTTCACACGCTTACCGCTGATCGACGGCTCGGCCGTCGGCATCGACGCCTCTCGCTGTCGATACTCGTGCCCAACACTCGGCAAAAATCAAGAGCTTGCCTAAGTTGGATACCGCTGGGCAGACCCTGAAGACGAATGTGTTGACGTAGGTCAGAGCAGAACGGTATGCTCTCAAATAAACTACATGTCTCTACACTGCACCTTCTTGTGATCTAGCGCACTCCTCGCCCACAACGACGGTTGCCTGACAGGCCTCTTGCTGCCCATCTCCACGACAGGGCTGCTCAGCCTTGCTTTATTCCTAGTCCCTCAGACACTCCTCCCACTTGCCCTGACCCTCCCTCGACTGCCCGCCCTCCTCCTCCCATGCAAACCAAGGCTCGCCCTGCGCCGGCCTCTCCCAGGCCTCCTCCGCCGTGCTCGGGCCGTGGCCTAGGGGGACTGCGGCTTGCGCTTCTTCCTCGCCCCAGGCGCCCTCCGTCAGGTACATCTCCCACGTGCTGTCTGGGCTGACGAGCTCGTCGCCCGACCCCAGGAAGCCCTCCGAGCCCTCCTCCCACCAGGTGCAGCAGCTCTGAGCCTCTGCTGCCTCCTCCTCCGTCCTCGCCCCGCTCTGCCGCCTCCGCCTCCATCCGTCCAGGCACGCCTGGCCTGACCTGACGCATCGCCCGCAAGGCCTCTCGGGGTCGCACTTGAGCCGCGACCTCCTGCAGCGCTCGCACGCTTGGGTCACCTGCTCTCGCCTCCGCTGGTACCCCTGCAAGTCCACTCCCAGCGGAAGCCCCCCTTCCTCGTAGCACACGGACCCTGTCCGGAAGCAGCGCGCGCAGGGCCGCGCTTCCCCGCAGCGCACTTTCTTGAGCTGGCAGCTCAGGCAGGCCTTGCTCGACCTGCGGCGAAGCCCGCGCGTTGCCGTGGGGGTCCCAAGCGCGGCATCACCAGCCTCTGGTCGAGAGCAGTCGTCCCCGCGTCCGGCCCGGAGGCAGCGGGAGCAAGGGAACTGCTCGTCACAGCGAGTCTTGCGGCGACGGCACTGGGCGCAAGCAGCGAAGGGGCGAGGAGGAACAGCAAGCGGCATCATGGAGGGGCGAGGAGGAACAGCAAGCGGCATCATGGAGGGGCGAGGAGGAACAGCAAGCAGGAGGAACAGCAAGCGGAGTCTCGGGGTTGCCGTGTGGTAAATTTGTGTTCCTTTCTGCCTGTCAACTCAACACGAGCGTCTACTCGTGTAGTCCAATCATTCGTAATGAGCCTCCCCGGGCCCCCTCCTCCCCCTACGCTTGTTTTCCTGTGGTCGCGATCTAGGGCATGAGCCCTCCTCCTCTCAGAGTCTGCTGGGCCCGGGGAGCATGAAAGGGTCAACCGTGAACGGGGGAGTAGTCTCTGTTCTGCCTTTAAGCGTTTCAATAAACTTGGGCCTCTCTATCTCTGGGCTCGGTAGCAGGCCGTCACCTCAGACTGTCGTGTACCGTAGTACGGTATCCGATGATAGTATGGCCCGGCTCTGCATGCCGATGATCATCGGTTGCTCCTTCGCTACTTCAGTACAGTGGCAACCTGGATGCACGGCTTTCAAGTTTCTAGCACACTGGCCATCTAGGACAATTCTAGCACACATCTAGGATAGTAGGACATTTCTAGCACACATCTAGGACATGTCTAGCACACATCTAGGACATTTCCAGCGCACATCTAGGCTAGTAGGACATTTCTAGCACACATCTAGGACATTTCTAGCACACATCTAGCATAGGACATTTCTAGCGCATATCTAGGACATTTCTAGCACACATCTAGGACATTTCTAGCACACATCTAGGACAAGTTTCGGAAGTTCTAGCACACATCTAGGACAGACATTACGATACGGGTGCGCCTCAGGGTTCATTCATTCTGATCCGGAAGGGTCAGGGCATCCCTGTGGGTAGGGGTAGTCATGTGTGTGGACAATGGTAGGGTACTTTTCGTTTCAATTGAAGGTAGGGGTACATTGGGGGTGGGGTTGTACGCCGTTGGGTCGAGGGGTCGCCATGTCGATGGAGGGGATCAATGCTGTGATGAGGAAGGCTACTATGGCGACGGCGACGGCGATGATGATGATGATGATGATGATGATGATGATGATGATGATGATGATGATTTGGAAGTCAGACATGCCTTCACTGACTTCACTGCTCTCTCGAAACTCTGCCTCCTCGTCCTACATGTCATTCTCAACCTCGTCACCGTCCTTTGTGTCTCGTCGGTTAAACAACAGACGACTTCGGCTTCCATCTCTTCAGGAGAGCTCCTCCTCCTCCATCGATGCAGACACTGCACCTCATCGCCAGGATCATGCAGGAGTGAGTGCTGCGGCTGTTCAACTCCGGGCATGCGTGTCTGAAGGTATACTTTCGGCGTGATGGCGAACTATCGCTGACATTGCCTGTAGCACGGGATGTCAAGGATGGGATCTGGTGCCTCTCTCGCCTCCTCTCTCGCCTGCCCCCCGCTCTCGAGCACAGAGCTCTTGCTGTAGCCCAGGAGGTTGCTCCGACGGTGGACAAGAGGACGCCTCCGCAGGGCCTGACAATCAATCTTGAGACTTGCCTGGGACAAGCTCGTAGTCCTGATGCTCGCACTTTCTGTCTTGCTGATCTTCTCGCTCGCATCCCTCCCAAGGCTCTCGCGCTGGCTGCCCGTCAGGCTGAGGAGACTCCCGTCGTCGACTGGAACGGAACTAGCGCCGATGCCACACAGGACGCCGAGAGCTTCCTGTCCTGCGTGCAGAGCTCGGAGGTTGCCACAGTCTTCCCGGCCCTTATCCTCTTCCCTTCTTGTTCCTTCTCTTTGCTTCCCTCCCACCTCTTCCCTTCTTGGTCCTTCTCTTTGCTTCCCTCCCACCTCCTCCCTTCTTGTTTCTCCCTCCTTCTCTTCCTTGCCCTTCTCCAGCCTCCCTGCTGACTGGGAGCCTGCAGACTGTGGACGAAGGGATCGTGTGTCTGGGTACCCTCCTCTCCGACCTCCCGCAGGCGCTTGTAGAACGCAGCACGCGTCTCCTTACCTCTCTGCCTCCTCGCACCGTCAACACGGACCCTTCCGAGATGCAGACCCCAAACTTCGTCAAGTGCCTGAAGCTTGCGAGCAGCGGCGACTCCGCCATCTACTGCCTATCAAACTACCTTATCCACCTCCCTCAGGACCAGGTGCTCCCCTCCTCCCCTCTGGCTCGTAATGGCTGAGCCGAGCTGCAGGTCGAACGGGCGTACATCTTCTACAAGACCCAGCGGCTTCATCCCACGCTCGAGGACGTTGACCGGGTGAGGGAGGGAGGACGAGAAGGAGAGGAGAGAGGGAGTGACAGGGGAGCAGGAGGGCGTGTTCAAGAGCACCGCCAAGACGGCACTTAACGACGTTGGCCTCGGCTAGAGCCTCGGGGGAGCGTCAAGTAGATTTACATCATGGAAACTAGAAGGACAGCAAACGACTACCATCATGTTGACAGGCTGCTGTCCTCGCTCGCCGTCGCCAGGGGCTACAAGAGCCCTCGGGCTTGCAAGTCCTCCTTGCACCTCGGCGACTCCACGTACCTGAAGTGAAGTGAGTGGGACAATCCTACATGTCAAGCAGCAGCAGATACTTCCTCAGCTCCCCCAGTGCGATCGCGATGATCAGGTTGGCGATGGCAGTCTGCCAATGCTGGTCAACCCATCGATTGCCACATGCCTCCCCGGCCTTCCCCCCTGTCCCCTCCTCCTTCCCACTCCATCTCTCTTCCTATTCTTCCTGGTCCACTTCTCACCTGTATGAACTTGGGGACAAACGATCCAAGTTCGGCAACGAGCTCGAAGCTAACCTTAGACCTGTCTCGCTCTGTGAGCTCCTCCTCCTCCTCCTCCAGCTCCCGCCCACTTGAAGTTGTCCAAAGGTTCGAACACGTAGGCACCTTCGAGCCGCTTGATCATGCTCGACTCAACCATCTGCTCGCATCTCAACCATCGCACAAAGATCGCACGGCAACCAACATGGAAGGTAATCCTCTTGCATTCTTCTAACGTGAACCCCATGACAAAGTCGAAGATGTAGCCGAAAGCTCCTGCAGCAGCTGTCAACCTATCCAGCCTCTGACTCCTCGGTCTTCATCCCCCTCATCATCGCCCCCGCCCTTCTCCCACATCCACCCCTTCCCTCGCTGCCTCTGCTCTTCCTCGTGCTGTTCCTCGTCCTCGAGTCTAGACTCACCAGCTTTGTAAACGGCCTCGATGTAGTCAGAGTCCTTAAGGCGGATGTTGACGCTCTTGATCCCATCTCCTGCCCAGTCTTTGTAGTGCTCCAGCTCGCTCGCCACCAAATAGATCTGCTGCGAATCTGCCGACTCGTCAGGACGCGGCTGGTGCGGGGGAAGCAGCAGCATCACCTGCCGCCATCTCCATCTCCTGGCAAAGGACGTTTTTGTCCCTTTTTGCCTCCACCTTCAGCGAGTGGGCGGCCGCCTGCCGTTGCGCCTCCTCAGCTGCCCACTGGTCAGTCACACCCTACAGTGATCAGCAGCAAGTCCACCTGCCCCTACAGCTGCCGCTGGCTCAACAGCTGAGGCCGCAGACACCTCTGGGACTACCAGACCATGAGGAACGAGAGGAGCATGGGTGTCAGCTTCACCAGACTTCTTGTCGTCCAGCCCTGCAAACCCTCGTCAGCTTCCCAGCAACGCTGACCCTCCTCCTCACCTGAGGAGACGAAGTTCATCGCTCCCTCGATCCCGTCTGACACTCCCTGCGATGCACGCTCAGAATCCAGCACAAGCGGGCGGAGGGAACCTTCTTCGCCCCCTCGAACCCCTCGGCCATGCCCTTGGCTGCCCCTTCGATGCTGTTGGAGACTTCCTGCACTCCCTCGGAGAGAACCTGGATGGGGAAATCAGGAGGAAACTAGGAGGAAGGGGCCATTCCGAGCATGAGCGATGAAAGGGAAAAGATGAAGATTAGGAAGAAAGTGAAGGAAGGAGGGAAGCGGAAGGAAGCAGAGGATGATGATGCTGAGGAGCAGGAGCAGGAGCAGGAGGTAAACAGGGACTGCGCTACCTGATAGATCGCTCCAAGTCGTCGTGATCCAAGAATCTTCAAGTGCTGCTGCGATTCCTCAGCATTGAAATCCTTGAGGATGTCAGCCGTCGCCTTCAACCGCCTGCTTCCCAGCAGGGTCTCCTTGTTCTCTCCGTTCCAGATGCTTCCATGAAGGGCACTCAGTTGCTGGAAGTCAATGATGGTGTCTTCATCCCGGTCAAACTCCAGCAGGTGTACCATCCCCTCGGACACCTCGTCCTCTGAGTACAGCAGCACGTCCTCTGCCGCCTGACGCTCCTCGTTGTTCGGGATCGGCTGCAAGCCAGCAAGCTGTATCGACCCGATCCTCCCCCCCACCTTGTGCATGACTTTGTGCTGCTCCCCCAGCTCCCCCACCTCCACCACCTCCACCTGATGCTCCTCGTGACGCACGACAGCCGACGTCTCCCTGTGCGACAGCTCCAGATGGTGGTTGGCCTGCTCGCCCCGGCTGAGCCGTCTGGACCTCAGACTCTGAATGTACTGATGTGACCCCACACGGGGCTGCCCGTGCCGGACGCCATGAGAGCACATGGTCACTGTTGAGTGACCTGCTGCGCTCGACCGAACATGCTTGCCGCGCAAAAGAATATTCACATCACTTCGACCGGGGTGGGAGAGAGGGTTCTGAACGAGGAAGCCAGTGGCGGCTGATACAAAGCATGAAAGAATAACGGAGAGATGAAGTTGCATGGAGATTTGAGATGAAGGTTCGCTAGGAGCGGGAGATCTCCTCCACTTCGAGTACAGCTCAGCTGCTTCCTGTCTGCTACGATAATTCCAGATTCTCGTTACAGCCAGCCAGACTCCAGGCCTAACAAGGCAACCACATCAGAATCTGGCGTCAGATCTATCAATTGTAGCATACAAGTCGACATAACCCGTGTTTCTCAAGGAACAAACAACCCTTCCCCCCTGATTTTGCCCAGTCTGCCCTAGTCCTTAATCGAAGCTGCTCGTGATGGGATCTAATCTTGTCACCTCCTCTCGCTTCCCTGCTTTTTTCGTCGTTATACTTCCTATCTGGATTTTGGCCATTGCTTTTTTTATTGCTGTGTTCCGTTTTTCGCATCTCCTCGTGCCACCTCCGATCTCTCTCAATGTCTCTCATCCCCTCTCTTGACTTTTCCTCCACGCTCCTCTTCCCCTTCCCTTAGCCCCCACCCTCTTCTTTCACTGCCCTCCCTCCCCCTTTCAGCTATTTCTGCTTCCTTATCTTCACATTTGCCTCTACTCGCTCGCTTGCTCTGCCTGCGCTTCACTATTCCTTCCTCTCCTCTCCTCTCCTCTCCTCCGGCCCTCGCAACTCTTCTCCTTTCTTCCCATCTGCACTCAGCTCATCTTCTCACCCCCTCTCTATCTTCTCCTGAACATCCTTCCCCTCTCTTGATTTCTTCTCTTCGCCCTCCTTCCCTGTCGGGCTTCATCTACCATCGTCTAAACTGTAATGAAAATCTACACCTACCCCTACCCCCTACATGTATATCCCCACCCTAGGAATAAAGCATTCACAGACCACTACCCCTTCTTCCAGGCGACTTGGTAATCCACTACCCCCTCTTCTCCTCCGTTATGAACCTGGTAATATACCACCCTAAACAAGATATTGAGTACCCACCCCACTAAAGATAATGTACTATCACACCCACCCACAAAAAGAGCAACCCCGACCCCCTACGAGCTCGAAGGAAGACCCCTGCCCCCTATATGTGAGATAGACAATAACTCTAACAGTAAATGGCTTAGAATTTCACTTGTTCTGTGAATTTTGTATGACAGTTATCAAATTTGATAATATATTTTGACATCTTGCTCTAAAAGTATCGCCAACTTCACAAACAAATTTTCAGCCAACGTGTTAAAATATTTATTGATTCCCCCTTAGTACTACCCTACCT